ACCCGATGATTACTGTCAACGCATTCAAAGCGATGCGTCGATTCATTTATACCGAAGTGGTGGCCAAAGACACGGATCTGATATGCGATGTCATTATATGCGCCCATAAGTATCAAGTGATGCGTTTGTTTGACAAAATGGCCGAACGCTTGTCGGCAATGCTGACCACCCATACCGTGACAGCGATCGCCGAAATGGCGGTCAAGTATGACAACAAACCGCTGATGGATTCGGTGAAGGCCTTCATAATGAACAACTCGTCGGTAATGGCGACCTTTGGCTTGGAATACGTGAGCCGTTTGAATGATATGACTGGCGGCACATGTCTTGAGGCGATGGTCGAGTCGGTGGCGAAGACTCGCAAGTATTTCACAACTAGAATCCGTTGTTTGGAGGGCTCTCTCGAGAAACTGTACAAAGAGGGCAACAAATTTTGCTATAAATCTAAGAAAAACAATTTATGGGTCTTTGATTTCGACAATATGGCCGACAATTGATCCACAGATTCCAATGTTTAACTATTTAATGGAAACAATCAAAGCTCTCAATCATTTGTTTCAATTAATGTTTTAATTTTTATTACTTTTTGTTTGCATTTTATATCCCTTTTCATTGATTGTCAGTATTTAGAAAACAAACAATTTGTTAACCATTCATATCATGTGATTCACACAGTGTTTGAAGTGAACATATAATTATCGGTTCAATTTATGCTTTAATTCGGATAAATATTTGTATTTATTCTCATGTAATTTCAGGTTTTAAATAACATTTATAAATAATTATCTTAAATATTTAAATCATTATAAATAAAAACTATTTTTTAAATAAAAATAACATTAAATTGATTTCATTAAAAAATTCTTATTTATTATATAAACTATAAAACAAATAATATAATGAATTAATTAATTATTGTTCACTTCTGTGAGTAAAGTGTGGAGTAATTGATTGTTTACTTCGCAAAGACATAGCAGTGGATCCGTTGTCATCGGTTCCCGATATGGATATTCAGTGATAGACATCTGACACCACTGTCTGCCGGCAAACAGATGCCAGCGTTGGCTGTAATACAGGGCAGCAGTGATTGGCTGTCCGTTTAGGGCAGAGAAATACCCGCCGCAAGAAATATAACATTTTTATACAATTTTAATATTAATACATAGATTACAACAAAGTTTATATTTAATTGATATACGGATTAATGCTATAATACATGATATAAATGGCAATGTTTTCTCTAAACAATGAACTGTTTTAGACCTTTACATAAGTTTGAGATCTCATTATTGGATACAATTGTGGATCAGTTGACACCTAATGGCAATTAAGAGCGCAATCTTATAGTAATTTTGTGTTTTATATAACCTTAAATTATGTACTCATTAAAATGAACAATTAATGATGGTCATTTTTAATATTGATATAATTTAAGTACTTTAAACATCAAACAGGGGTTTCAGGGGTACTATAAATAAGCTTATGATTACACATAACGTAACGCTTGCTATGAATGGATCGCAAACTCATTGAAAATAATTAATATCACATGTTTTGAGCACTCAATCAAAACAACACTTCATTTATCACTAAATTGTGTGAAGTTTTGCCATCAATTGAACTGAAGATCTCATTATCACCGCTCAAGACATACATATAATGTCTGCCAATGAGAACAACGGATCCAATGACTCGTCTTCACAGGTAATGAAATCTGCATTCAATCATACAATTAATGATTGCTTTATATTTCCAGTCAAACAAAGACATCGATGAAAGACATCCGGAAATGAAGTACTTTCTGAACGAATCGGAATCGGATGTCGTCTTCGTTATCGACGGCCACAGACTTCCCGCACATAAACTGATCCTTCGCTTCAAGAGTGATGTCTTCGGCGCTATGTTTTCGGAACCGTTCGCAGAGTCGGCGGCGAAGGAGATCCCGATTGTGGACACGAGTGTCGATGCGTTCAAAACAATGCTTTGTTTTCTGTATACGGAGAAACTTGTACTAACGGACGGTAAAGACCTGGAACTGATCGGTGATGTGGCGAAGTGTGCCGACAAATACCGTGCGTTACGCCTATTGGACGCGATTGGCGACCATTTGTCGCCATTGCTTACCATCGATAGCGTGCAGACAATCGCCGAAATCGGGTTCAAGTATGGCATCAATGGTCTGAAGGATTCGGTGAACGCATTCCTCTTCAAGAAGTCATGCAAACTGATGGACAAAGACATGGATTCGCTAAAGAAGTTGAATGATATCACAGACAATATGTGTTTGGAGGCGATGGTTAAGGCATTGATTAAAACTCGTGGGTTTTTGGTCAACACATGCGGATGTCATAATAATAACGTTTCTCACAGCCATTATGGTAACAAAATTACATACACTAATCAATACGGAAAAACATTTCTTGACTTTGAGGACATGTCCTCTAATTGATCCCAAGAACTAAATGTCTAACCATTTAATAATGTCAATCAAAGTTATCAATATTTTGTTTAAATTGATGCTTTAATTATAATTACTTTTGTTTTCAATTTATATATTCATTGTCTGTATTTAGAAACCAAACAATTTGTTTACATTTTACCGTATTTACTCTCATAAAAACACCCGGTAATATTATGTGAAATCCAACAAAGGGGGGTAATATTATCCAGGTAGCATTACCCCTATATTTAGGATCATGATTGCATTTTACTAAAAACTTATACTATTGTACTTTATTGCTTATGAGTCGAATACGATATACTCGTTATTAATGACTCATTAACAATTAAATAACGCCAAATTGTATCCATTTTCTGACAGTCAATAGCATTCACTAAAATGTCTCAAATTGTTAGTTTGTCTTCAAATGAAGACATTAATGATAATATGGTGACAGCTTTTAACTCTGAACTTAAAGATATCTGATGAATATTTCTTAAATATTTTGCTTGAATTTTATAAAATCATTTGCTATTTGAATGAATAAATAACCTTCAATTGAATTTCACATAGCGTTACCGGTAACAATATGTGAATTTTAGTAATGGGGGGTAATCTTATCTAGGTAACATTACCCCTGTTTTGAAAAATCGCATTTTCACTGAATTTCACATAATATTACCGGTGTTTTTATGAGAGTATATACGGTATATCATGTGTTTTATTGAAATAATTACCGTAATTTTTAAATATGAAATACATTTTAATTACCGTACAAACTATTTTCTATGGAAATAACATTTAATAAAGTTGATTTAATTGAAAAAAATCTTATTTATTGTATAAACTATAAAACAAATACAATATCAATACATTTTTATAAAAATTCTGATTTTCATAATAAAACTTTTGATATAACTATAAAACGTGATTAATTAGATAAATATTGTATTAACCAAATTATTTAAACTCCCATTTAAAGGTAGAATAGATTTTGTTGATCTGATCGGCGGTAAAGTCCGGGTGTTGTGCGAGGGGTCGGACACCGGGCGGCACACAAACCAATGGCTTGTCGTACGCGCCCTTCAAGTGGACGGGTAAGACATCGGGTGCCATATATTTGGTCAGTTCGGCGGAACTGATGGACAGGAATACGGCCTTCAAGTGTTCGTTCATTAATGAGAGCATTACTCTCGCCGTTGCGGTCAAAATCCAGGGCAAGTCTACAGCAAACATGTATTTAATGCCTTTTGGGTAATAGTTTTGTAACACATCTACAAAAAAGTTATTGAAATCCATTTCCATATTTCCCAAACCGGCTCCAGTAGTGTCCACCACAACAACCCATCCCTCATGACTGCACTCCCGATCCAACCGCTCGTATTGATAGACCAGAAACTGTTTCAATAGTGGCGACCATTCCGTGCACTTCCGGTAGTGTTTGGTCTGAATCCATAGCACAGGTCTGTTCTCCCGATCCGTACAAAAAGGCGCCGCAAAGTAACCCATTTTATACAACTCTTCGGGAAACGTCTGATCCGTGAAGTCGTTTACACCGAAAGCCTTTCGCCATTTCATGGCTTTGAGGAGTGCTTTGAGGGCCGAGTCCTCCGATTTGTTGGTCAACACAAACCTCTCGACCCACCAGTCCTTCTGCGCCACTCTTTGCACGTCCAGAGAGTGGTAAGCATTGAGTCTCTTCTTAGCCGCGGCCAAGAAGTTGGTCCGTATTTTCGCAATTAATGCTTTATTTACTAACATTTTGTAAATATATAAAACTTTTAACACATTTTAATCATTAATTGAATATTATTTTAACATTAAATGTTTTAATTGAAAGTAAAGTTAATGCAAATAAAATGTAAAACAATTGATAATTACAATACAAAAGTGATAAAACACTTGCATTTTATGAACACATGTTTAATTTGGAAATTAACTTAACGTTTAGTTAATAGAAATTTAGTTATAATTTTCCGAGAAATGGATTCATTTATATTTCTTTAAATTTCAAAAAATTCATAAATTATAGCAAAGTTCGTGTTTAATTGATATTTGAATTAATGATTGTATGCATGATATAAATACATGGTATAAATTGCAATGTTTTCCTTAAACAATGGATTGTTTGAGAACTTTGTATTGGTTTGTGATCTCATTATTGAACACAATTGTGGATCAGTTGACATCTAATGGCAATTAAGAGTGCAATCCTATAGTATTTTGTATTTTATATAACCTTTAATCATTAAAATGAACAATTAAAAGTGATTGTTTATAATATCGATATAATTTATTTACTATAATCTATAACTAACTTTAAACAACAAACCGGGGTTTCTGGGGTACTATAATTACGGTTATAATTAACATAACGTAACACTTTTTACTAATGGCCCACAAAATCATTGAAAATCTGGTGATAATTGTATTAGAGGTCAGAGTTTTAGTCACAAAATTAATTTAACGTATTTTGTATAGATTGCATAAACCGATGCATTCATTCACACCTCTAGTCCTTTCATTTACAACAAAAGCATTGATTCATACATTTGTCACATGTTTTCAATCACTTCAACAAAACCTCATTTCATTGATCACTAAATTGTGTCAAACGTTACCATCGATTGCACTCAAGACCTGATTATCACCGCTTGAGAGACACAAATAATGTCAGTCAATCACTCGTCTAATCAGGTAATGACAGATCCATTAATCATTCAATTAAACATTGATTTAACCATTGTTTGAATGGCAGACAATCGCCGAAGACATTGTCCCGGAGGACACGTACCCAGAGATGGATGAGTCGGAGTCGGATGTGGTGTTTGTGGTGAACGGCCACCGAATACCCGGAGCTAAAGGCATATTCGGGTTCAAGAGTCGAGTCTTTCGGGCGATGTTTGCGGCGCCGTTCGCTGAGTCCACGGCTCCGGAGATCGCGATCGACGACCCGATGATTACTGTTAACGCTTTCAAAGCGATGCGAAGATTCATATATACGGAAGAAGTGGTGTTAAGCGGTGGCGAAGACTTGGATGAAGTGTGCGCTGTCATGCGATGCGCCCATAAGTACCAGATCTTGCGTTTGGTCAACAAAATGGCTGACAAATTGTCGTCAATGCTGGACATCCATAATGTGAAGACTATCGCAGAAATGGCGGCCAATTATGACAACAAACCACTGATGGATTCGGTGAACGCATTCCTCCTGAAGAAACCGTATTTATTGATTGCCAAAGACATGGATTACTTGAAGGCATTGAATGATATGACTGGCGGTCAATGTTTTGAAGCGATGGTTAAATCAATGCTTAAGACCCGTCAGTATTTTGTGAATATAGGTTTTTATAGAGGTTCCCCACAGAGAGTGGTTGGCGGCATGTATTCATGTCATCCAACTTCAGTTCCACCGACTGATAATTTTAATTTCGACGACATGTCCATCAATTGATCCCAAGAACTCAATGTTTAACCATTTAATGATATCAATGAAAGCTCTCAATCGTTTGTTGCAATTAATGCTTTAATCATAATTACTATTTGTGTTCAATTAATAATACCTAATAATATCTGATATTCATTGATTTTCTGTATTTAGAAACGAAACAATTTGCTTACTTTTTATATCATATGATTTATAATTGAAAAATACTTTTCTAATTGTTTTAAATGTTTAAATCAGTCTTTAAATAAAAATTACTTTCAAATTGACTTAATTTTAACTTTTATTTAGAATTATAAGACAAATAATATAATGAATTAACTAATTATTGTTCACTTCTTTGTGTACAGTGTGGAGTAATTGATTGTTTGCTTTGCAAAGACATAGCAGTGGATCCGTTGCCATCGGTTCCAGTTATGGTTATGAGACTTGAAGTTACGGGACGTTTGTTTAGATACCACTTTGTGATGAGCACTAAGATTACGATCACAATCACAATCACTGCCACTAATACTGAGACAACAGTAATGATAATCGAGTGGTTGTTATGCGAGTGATTGAGTGGACACTCAATCCATTCAGTCATGTCTTTAACGGCGCAAAAGTCGGTCCAATTGTGTTCAGTGATAGACATCTGACACCACTGTCTGCCGGCAAAACAGATGCCAGCGTTGGCTGTAATACAGGGCAGCAGTGATTGGCTGTCCGTTGAGGGCCGAGAAATACTCGCCGCTGTTGTTGTCGTCGGTGTGATTGAGGTGAACAAATCGGACGACTGTCTGACCGGTGCTAAGAGTCTTGAGTTTGATGTCGTGCTGATCATTGTATGCAATAATGGGGTACTTTTCAACCCGAATGCCATTCATTTGGTTGTGTTTTAACAAATAAAATTGGTTTGTGTCCACTCTTACGGTCTCGAAGACATCCGACGGCGCATATGATTGGTTGGCAATGAATGACCAATTCGTCCAGAATTTCCATATGTGTCCTAATTTTGGCTATTTTTTGATTAAACACTAAATAATAAATTTATAAATAAAAAGATTGATAAATACATTGTGTAAAAAGTAATAATTTTGTGTAACAAATGCCACATCAATGGGTCCGTTGAGGTCTTCGTATATATTTTTGATCTCATTGTGTGCTATGTTGTCATTCAATGGTTTCAATACATAGTATTCATTGCCTATAAATGCTGTAAATTCTGTCAAATTTTTTGATGTCATCACAGAATCGATGCTTAGATTCCGGGTTTTGTCGCACAATATATTCTGGGTTTAAATTAAATAATTAAAATATGTCAGATCTCTCTCTCTCTCTCTCTCTCTCTCTCTCTCTCTTATTAATAATAACATACCGATAAAACAAGTGGTAGATTAATGGCAATAAAACCTGATGTTATGACAAATAAATGGTTTAACAAAAACATATTTTCAAACATTGAAATAGATATCAGATTATCCTTATTTAGACAAAACAAAAAATGATTTAAAATTTATTGTTTTATATTTCAAACCAAATTTTAATGTTTCAATTCAATGAATAATATAATTATTTTATTGTGGTAAAGTAAGCCTGTTCAACTGGGTTTTAGTATATCACATATACAGATTCAGAGTATGCCATAAAAAGGTGGCGCAACGGTCAGTACAAAAGTTTAGGTTTGTCAGTATTAAACAAGAAACACCGCGTGAAGGTCAACCTTATAGTTTCTCACCCATTTTTAATAGTGGTTGGCTTTCAGTCTATCTACAAAATGTCATTTAAAACAAAATTTAATTATTAAACACACATTTTAATGAGATTTATTATAGCGTTTGCGATTATCGACAACTTTATTAATATTTGACTCAATATCATTTGATGACCATATTTTCAAACGTGATCTTAATGTTTTTGCGCAAATACTACCAGTTTTGTCATTTTAATCCATTGTCACAATATTATAAAATTATTAAAATTTACAAAATTATTAATTTACCTCAAAAACCTATTATTAAAGTTAATGAGCACTCAATTTAACTCCAGTGTATATTAATTTGCACAAAATAAATATTTATGACAATTTATTAATTAGTTATTTAATATTAATTAATTGTTTTAATGTTAAAACAATTTACATTAAATTTGCCAAAAAAATAAACAAATGGTTTTGTAAACAATAATCGTCTGCTTAATGCATGTCTTGTTCACATACAACGTTACAAAATTTGTTTACCTGGTTGTGCCCTTTATGTTGAATATAATTATATTTAATTATAATGTGAAATGTCTGATAATTATAGATTTAATCAATTAATTATAGATATATTTATGTTAGATATTTGTATTGAACATGTGGCTACACTAAGTATAGCCGCTATACTTGGTTGAACACGAATATTGTAAAGCATAATTATAATTTGTGATTAAAACGGTTATTGTTGTTCATTAATAAAATTTTTATTTAACGTGCAATTAACTTTATTTTAACTCTGATTTATATATGGAGTAAATTTTCTTGATTTGATCGGCTGAAAAGTCCGGGTGTTGTGCGAGGGGTCGGACACCGGGCGGCACACAAACCAACGGCTTGTCGTACGTGCCCTTCAAGTGGACGGGTATGACATCGGGTGCTATATATTTAATCAGTTCAGCGGAAGTGATGGCTTTGAAACACTCCCGGAGCTGTTCATTCATGAACGAGACCAACAATTTTACGGTTGCGGTCAAAATCCAAGGCATGTCCACCGCTAACATGTATTTAACACCTTTTGGGTAATAGTTTTGCAGCACATCTATCATGAAATTAGAGTAATCCATATCAATATTACCCAAACCGGCTCCGCCACTGTCCGCCACCAAAACCCATCCCTGATTACTGCACTCCCGGTCTAACCGCTCGTATTGATACACCAGAAACTGTTTCATCAATTGTGTCCATTCCGTACACTTGTGGTACCGGAACTGTTGAATCCATAGCACAGGTCTGTTCTCCCAATCAGTACAAAAAGGCGCCGCAAAGTAACCCATTTTATACATCTCTTCGGGAAATGTCTGATCCGTAAAATCGTTTACACCGAAAGCCTTTCGCCATTTCATAGCTTTGACGAGTGCTTTGAGGGCCGAGTCCTCCGATTTGTTGGTCAACACAAACCTCTCGACCCACCAGTCCTTTGCCGCCACTTTTTGAACGTCCAGACAGTGGTAGTCATTAGTATTAGTTATATCGGTGGCCAAGAAGTTGGTCCGTATTCTCTCAATTAACTCCTTATTCACTAACATTTTATTTTAATATAAATTTGTTGATAAATTATATTAAAACTAATCTATTTGTTAATTTAATAGTGTTTTAACATTAAATGCGTTGATTGAATGTAAAGTACAATTATATTAAAGTCAAAATACTAGCATTTTATTAACACATGTTTAAGCGGAAAATTAGTTTATGACAGTATTAATAGATAATTATTTTGAAATTACATCGAATAAAATGAATTACTTTTAATTATTTGAAGACAAATATAATTTGATAATTGTTTCCTATTATTACAAATATTAATTCAAATAATAGCTGTAAATTATGTAAAAATAATTTATAAAGTTAATTATGCGAGTTAAAGAAGGGTGACGAAGACTCTATGTTAATTTGGCTAAAAAAATATTTTTTATCTAACCCTCCGTAAAAATGTTACGTTTATAGTATAGTGGGCGAATTTTAGTTAAAAGTTAATTTAATGCGATTTTCATTATGTTACTTAATATATGCTAAATTAAAAGTGAAATAAAAAGAATCGGGATGACAACCCGACCTCGAAATCGGCAATATTGGTCACTATTTTCGGTAAATATAAACATGTTCAAAATTAACATATGATATATGAAATCAATATAGAATTTAACGTAGAATCGGAATATACCAATATCAACTAGTGAAAGTAATAGTTTTATTGTAATTTGTGTAAAAATGCTTAATTTTATTATAATAAACTGCTATGCACTAACAGAACACCCACAAAACTACCACAACCCCGACCACCACCTACAAAACCACCACCCACTAAACTACCACAACCCCATCCAACCACCCAAAGCAATTCACAATCACAACCACAACCCCGACCACCACCCACAAAACCACCACAACTCCTACCTCGACCCGTCAATAAATAACGTCAAAATAACAAATTATAATTTTTTAATTTTAAAAATATTTCAAAAACGATATGTCCCATGCAATTAATAATGATATATTCTGATTTTACGTTAAATTCTACATAGATCTCATATATCATATGTTAATTTTTTATAAGTTAAAATTTCCCGATAAAAGTGGTCACTACCGCCGAACCCGAGGTCGGTCGGCCATATAGATTATATCATTGGACTCCTCATACAATGTACTTTTTATTTATGTTATCAAATCCCGGGTGCCAGCTTAGCCCACATTCGTCATCCTTCTTTTAACAAATAGACTAAATATTGCACTTATTTGTGAAATTTAAAGTTTATTTTACTTAAAATTTCGTAAAACTAAATTTTAAAATAATGTTCATTGTAACATTTAATTTATCAAAAATATAATTAATTAATCAGATAATTCTGAGCCCCAATAAAATACTTTTGTTCGGCAAAAATTATATTTATTTTATTTTAAACATGTGTTAATAAATAGATTTTAAATTAATTAAATATATAATTAATTAAACAGATTATTTTAACTCCGATTTATAGGCGGAGTAGATTTTCTTGATTTGATCGGCGGTAAAGTCCGGGTATTGTGCGAGGGGTCGGACACCGGGCGGCACAGAAAACAACGGCTTGTCGTACGTGCCCTTAATGTGGACGGGTATGAACTCCGGAGCGATATATTTGGTCAATTCAGAGGACTTGATTGGAGTGAATGTCTCCTTCAGCTGTTCATTCATGAGAGAGACTATGAGTTTGGCCGTCGCGTTCAAAATCCAGGGCAAGTCCAACACTATCAGGTATTTAATGCCTTTCGGGTAATAGTTTTGCAGCACATCTATCATGAAATTAGAGTAATCCATGTCTACATTACCCAAACCGGCTCCGCCACCGTCGGCCGCGATAACCCATCCCTCATGACTGCACTCCCGGTCCAACCGCTCGTATTGATAGACCATAAACTGTTTCATTAGTGGCGACCACTCCGAGCACTTGTGATAGTGTGAGTATTGAAACCACACAACAGGTCTGTCCTCCCGGTCCGTACAGAAGGGCGACGCAAAGTAACCAATTTTGTACATCTCTTCGGGAAATGTCTGATCCGTGAAGTCGTTTACACCGAAAGACTTTCGCCATTTCATGGCTTTGACGAGCGCTTTGAGGGCCGAGTCCTCCGTTTTGTTGGTCAACACAAACCTCTCGACCCACCAGTCCTTCTGCGCCACTCTTTCCACGTCCAGAGAGTGGTAGTCATTAGGGTTGGTCTCAGCCGTTGCCAAGAAGTTGGTCCGTATTTTGTCGATCATCTCTTTATTCGCTGACATTCTGTTAATATTTTAATAAATTAAATAACTTTTAATAAATATTTAAAAAATTTTGATAATATTATCACCTTCAAATTATATTACTTTGGTTTAAGACTAAAACTGAGTTTAGCGTTAAAATCAATTAATTATACGTAATTTTAATTACACAACTGATTTTTAACCGTATGGTTTGTATATTAATGTAAAGTTTTAATTATTATAGCTTTTTCATATAATTTATAGTGATATTGTATCAATTATTTCTAATTTAATTATTAAGTTTATAATAATTTTTATTAATAATTTTACCGTTAATATTTTTTAAATAACAAAATTAAACAAACAAGTAAGTTAGTTAAAAATAATAATTTATATAGAAAATAGTTTTATTAATTATTTTAACTCCGATTTATAGGTGGAGTAGATTTTCTTAATCTGATCGGCGGTAAAGTCCGGATGTTGTGCGAGGGGTCGGACACCGGGCGGCACATCAACGAGCGGCTTGTCGTACGTGCCCTTCAGGTGGACGGGAATAAATTCAGGTGC